TATATTTATATATTTTATATATTGAATTTCCGTAAGTTCCATCCCGCTCCTAATAACCAGATCCATCTAGACCAGGGGTGGCCAGACTCCGGCCCTCCAGCTGCGGTGCAGTGCCTGTGACATGTGACAACCTCCTCATGTGACAGTGCCTGTGACATGTGAGACCCTCCTCATGTGACAGTGCCTGTGACAACCTCCTCATGTGACAGTGCCTGTGACATGTGACAGTGCCTGTGACATGTGACAACCTCCTCATGTGACAGTGCCTGTGACATGTGACAACCTCCTCATGTGACAGTGCGTGTGACATGTGACAACCTCCTCATGTGACAGTGCCTGTGACATGTGACAACCTCCTCATGTGACAGTGCCTGGGCCTACTGATAGGTGACCCAAGGTTTAGGCCTTGCATCATGGATGGAAATATACTACACTAGCACCATGATGGGGGGCTCTAAGTGGTGCTGGAGTAACACAAGTGTACAGATGCTGTCACCTAACCGGTTCTGTTGCTTTAAAGGAGAACTATGGGGTCAGTGTTTTCCCCATAGTTCTCCTTAGGGTAACGGGAGGACACAAACTAGCGTCCTCCCGTCACCCTAAGCTCAGTATATAGGGAGCCACAGCTCGCGGTATACTGAGACGCCGCAGCCGGGACGGATCGAGATCCACAAAGCTGTGTGATTGCAAGGTATCTAGAGGCAGAGCCAGCTGTGCCCGCCCCCTCCCCCGTCCGTTCCGCCAGTCAGCGCTGGAGGATCGGAGCGGGGAGGGGATAATCCCTGCAGGGAGCCGTGAGTGACAGTCGCGGCTCTCTGCAGGGACAGGATCGAGAAGTGAGCGAGCGATGGTATGTGTTCGCTCACCTCCCGATCTACTGAGCCGACATCTTTAAAAAAAAGAAATTAGATTGCTCAAGTCCTTAAAAAGCAGCTTTCACTGCAATACTCGCCTCCTGCCCAGCAACGTCACGTTAGGGGCACTACATGCATCCCAGGACCCTTTAGTCTGGTTTTATGTCGTTAAATGCATGTAAACGTGTAAACACAATAAATATAACTGCAATACAAATGGATCTGGAAAATATAAAATGCATCTAAATAACACAAACACAGGAGGCCCGTGTGAATGAGGCCTAAGGCACTAAGCTTTGTGCTTCACATAGGAGAATGAACCTGGGGGGTAGTTAGAGAGGGTCTGAAGGTATGACTGTGGGTAAGGCGGGCACCGGGCCTGTGTCATTTCTATGTGCGTATTTGCAGGATCATTAGTGACTGCTCTCTCTTCCCTCACCATCAGATTCATTGGCCGGCCGCCCCAAGCCGGCAGAAGGAATGTCTCATGGCAGGCAGAGGACGTGCAGTGAGTATAGTATTCGGTCCCTTGTAATATTTCTCATGCAGCCCGGCTTAAAGGAGAACTACAGTCTTTATAATGCGTTTCAGAGATAACTGTGAAAGAGATCATATAAGATTTTCATGGCGCGTCATTGCTTTAACAACGTTGTTTCTCTTCAGAGTTTGTAGATGTCCACTATATTACCAAAAGTATTGGGGCCCCTCCCCCTCCAAATCATTGGATTCAGGTGTTCCGTGACATTTCCCGGCCACTAAATATTCCGCCGCGGTCACCTGTTACTGGGATTATAACAAAGTGGAAGCAACTGGGAACAACAGCAACTCAGCCAGGAAGTGGTAGGCCACGTCACATGACAGAGCGGGGTCAGCGCATGCTGAAGCGCACAGTGCGCAGAAGTCGCCAACTGTCTGCAGAGTCAATAGCTACAGACCTCCAAACTTCGTGTGGCCTTCAGATTGGCACAACAACAGTGCGTAGAGAGCTTCATGGAATGGGTTTCCATGGCCGAGCAGCTGCATCCAAGCCGCACATCACCAAGTGCAATGCAAAGCGTGGGATGCCGCGGTGTAAAGCGCGCCGCCACTGGACTCTAGAGAAGTGGAGGCGTGTTCTCTGGAGTGACCAATCACGCTTCTCTGTCTGGCAATCCGATGGGCGTGTCTGGGTTTGGCGGTTGCCAGGAGAACGGTACTTGCCTGACTGCATTGTGCCAAGTGTAAAGTTTGGTGGAGGGGGGATTATGGGGGGGGGGGTGTTTTTCAGGGGTTGGGCTCCGCCCCTTAGTTCCAGGGAAGGGAACTCTTAAGCCATCAGCACACCAAGACATTTTGGACAATTTCATGCTCCCAACTTTGTGGGAGGAGTTTGGGGACGTCTCCTTCCTGTTCCAACATGACTCAAACCAGTGCACAAAGCAAGCTCCATAAAGACAAGGATGGGGGAGTTTGGGGGGGAGGAGCGTGACTGGCCGCACAGAGTCCTGACCTCAACCCCATAGAACACCTTTGGGATGAATGAGAGCGGAGACTGCGAGCCCCTCCCCCAACATCAGTACCTGACCTCACAAATGGCCCAACATTCCCATAGACGCACTCCTAAACCTTGTGGACGCCTTCCCAGAAGAGGCGGAGCTGTTATAGCGGCAAAGGGCGGAGCCAACCCAATACTGAACCCTACGGACAAAGACTGGGATGCCATTAGAGTTCATGTGCGTGTAAAGGCCGGCGTCCCAATACTTTTGGTAATATGGTGTATGTACACTGGGGCAGGCAGATTTGCTCAGTACACGTGCATGTTGTGCTTCCTACTTAGCTGCACGTTTGCCCTTTGCTCACCCTCTTGCAGTGAGTGTTTGAATGAAAATAGTACGCTTTGCAGTCTCTGATGATGTGAAATGTGCACAGTGCTCTGGGAAGCCAGAGATCATGTGATCTCATTTGGGCCCCCCTGTAACTAAAGTTGTTATTTATTTTGGAGGAGTGAAGGGTCGGCTGTGCAATCAGTCCTCATCCTGAGCTGGCCGTGACCTTTATGACATTTCTCCATTTCCCATCCACAGTGAACGCTGCAGATGGCAGAATCTCTCCTGCCGGCCTTTTATCATTATGTTTTTCATTGCCCACTTGGACCGTTGTCACCTTACCAAGCGTTACCTATTCCTTTACATGATGTATGTCTGTCACTGTAGGACGAGTGTGCCAATTATCTGCGCGTCATTCAGCCGGTGAACCGAACTCATCTCTATGCTTGTGGGACAGGAGCGTACCAGCCGCAGTGCACGCTTATCTACCGGGGATGGAGGTCAGAGGTGAGTCAACTACCCAACCCCCCTACTCCACACAACCTGACCCGTCCCTACCCTATCCAACCTGACCCTACCCTATCCAACCTGACCCTTCCCTACTCTATCCAGCCTGACCCTTCCCTACCCTATCCAGCCTGACCCTTCCCTACCCAACCTGACCCTTCCCTACTCCACACAACCTGACCCGTCCCTACTCTATACAACCTGACCCGTCCCTACCCTATCCAACCTGACCCTTCCCTACTCTATCCAGCCTGACCCTTCCCTACCCTATCCAGCCTGACCCTTCCCTACCCAACCTGACCCTTCCCTACTCCACACAACCTGACCCGTCCCTACTCTATACAACCTGACCCGTCCCTACCCTATCCAACCAGCCCCTACCCTACCCAACCGGACCCGTCCCTCCCCTATCCAACCTGACCCTTCCCTACTCTATCCAGCCTGACCCTTCCCTACCCTATCCAGCCTGACCCTTCCCTACTCTATGTAGCCTGACCCTTCCCTACTCTATACAACCTGACCTTCCCTACTCTACCCTGCCTGACCCTTCCCTACTCTATACAACCTGACCCTTCCCTACTCTATACAACCTGACCCTTCCCTACTCTATCCAACCTGACCCTTCCTTACTCTATCCAACCTGACCCTTCCCTACTCTATCCAACCTGACCCTTCCCTACTCTATCCAACCTGACCCTTCCCTACTCTATACAACCTGACCCGTCCCTACTCTATACAACCTGACCCTTACCTACCCTATCCAACCTGACCCTTCCCTACTCTACCCAGCCTGACCCTTCCCTACTCTATCCAACCTGACCCTTCCCTACTCTATCCAACCTGACCCTTCCCTACTCTACCCAGCCTGACCCTTCCCTACTCTATACAACCTGACCCTTCCCTACTCTATCCAGCCTGACCCTTCCCTACTCTATACAACCGTCGCTCGCTCACTTCTCGATCCTGTCACTGCAGAGAGCTGTGATGGGAGGGACTGGATTCCCCCCTCCGATCCTCCGGCGCTGACGGACGGGGGAGGGGGCGGGTACAGCTGGCTCTGCCTCTAGATAGGCAGAGCCAGCTGTCAGTCACGCAGCTGGGCGGATCCAGACAGAATTGTGGGATCCGTCCCGGCTGCGGCGTCTCAGTATACCGCGAGCTGTAGCTCCCTATATACTGAGCTTTGGGTGACTGGAGGACGCTAGTTTGTGTCCTCCCGTTACCCTAAGGAGAACTATGGGGAAAAGCCCTGACCCCATAGTTCTCCTTAATACTTTTGACACTCTATGTAAGAAGAAGCATAAAATGCAACACTTCTTGTATTGTACCTTCAATGTATTGATTTTGGGCCCTTCGATCTCCTGTACATAGAACGGTTACTGATTTTTCTTTGCTTACAAAGAGGTAAACGTTCCATTTACAATAAATTGAAGGACCCAAAATCAATATTGGCCGTCCGGGTCAAACTCTATACCGCCACCTTGTGGCTCGTTTCCATTACTGCAAGGGAGGCCGCTTCAAGACTTTGCAAAGTTACTTCCTCCTTGTGAACATCATTCTAT